TGGATGGAACTGGAGAGTATTGTGCTAAGTGAAATAAGTCAGACAGAGAATGACAGATACCATATGTTTTCACTCTTATGTGGATCCTGAGAAACTCAATAGAAGACCAGTGGGGAGGGGAAGGGGGAAAAAAAGTTACAGAGAGGGAAAGAGGCAAACCATAAGAGACTTCTTAAATACTGAGAACAAACTGAGGGTTGATGGGGGGTGGGGAAAGTGGGTGATGGGCATTGAGGAGGGCACCTGTTGGGACGAGCACTGGGTGTTGTAGGGAAACCAATTTGACAATCAATTATAGTTAATATAAAAAATAAGGAAATAAAAAATAAAAGGCACGTGCTTAAGGATCATACCTGTACTTTGCGAACAAAGGATGGAGTCACTCTTTTCTCGAAGTCATCTATAGGTGTGTATGAATTAAGGATCTTTATGATCTGTGAACAGCACATAAGATGGTGTTAGACCGTGAAAAAGGACAAGTCTGTCCATGAAATAATGATTCAATGGTTTGGGGACTGTTGGGAACCACACATAGTTCTTTAACATTGTAATTTGGCTCTAGGAACCATGTGCTCCAGCCTCCTTCCTTACTGCCCCCTGCTCTCCATACATACACATCTGTGTTTTGTGGGCAGGGAATGCACTTTTGTGTTTTAAAGTTCTAAGTTAGTATTAAATAAATGCTTTTTAGATAAGATGGTGGCCCATGGAAGATACATCTCCTCAAAGAGCACACAGAGCCTCAGATACACCCTATCGCTGGCTAAGCCAGAAAGGGGGACATCAATGACATGATTTGGTAGTGAAGATCAGGGACACACTCTGTAAATGTGGTCACCTGCACAGCAGACAGTGAGGTACAGCATTCATAGATCTCCTTGGCATCGCTGTCTGTGGTCTTCTTGACCTGAAGCAACCAGGCTGCCTGAGAGAGAGGCTCCAAAGTTTCCTTAGCCAAGCTGTTCTGCAAATTCTTATCTTTAAGCCATTCTTCTAAGTAGCTGATGTTGCATCTGGAGTAAAAGCCAGAGAAACAGACAAGAGTGGGTGATCCATTGAGAACACTTCAGAGTAGGGTGCTGAATTCCCCAGTGTGTACTGAGAGGGTCCCCAAGTTCACTGAGAGCCTTAGGACCACAGTCCAGCAGTTTCTTCATTTGTAACATGAGGGGGTTGGACCAGATGATCAGCTCTCATGACCCATGGTTCTAAGGATCTTGATTGTCTGGGGTGAGGGGCCATACCAGTTACAAACTTTGGGGAAAATCTGAGCAAAAAGCAGCAACTGTAATAATTTATAAAGTAATCTATTAAAATACCCTTAATAATGGATTTGAAAATCTACTAAAGGAAAAAACCATAGTGATATTTGAAGATTTACATTGGTATAAAAAACTCATTTATTTTCCTAAGTTGGCAGAAAATTTCCAGTTGGTAGAAGACTTTAATTCAGTCCACTGGGGTTTTTATTCTTGTTTCTATGAGTAATTATCATAAGTTTATGAATTAAGAGGCATGGGTTTTAGTCCCACCAATCTACTGTGTGAACTTGGAAAGTTACTCAACCTCTCTGGGTAAATGAGAATGTTGAGAACCCTCATATACTGTTGGTAGGAATGTAAAATGGCATAGCTGCTAAGAAAAATAGTTTGGCAGTTCCTCAAAATGTTAAACATAGAACTGCCATATGACCCAGCAACTCTACTTCTAATACTCAAGAGAACTTAAAGCACGTCCATATAAAACACTGTGCACAAATGTTCACTGCAGCATTATTTATAATAGATAAAAAATGAAAACAACCCAAATGTCCACCAACTGATGGATACACAAATTGTACGTCCATACAATGGAATAGTATTCAGCAATAAAAAGGAATGAGGTAGTGATACATGTGGTCACATGGATGAGTGGTGAAAACTTTACGCTAAGTGCAAGAAGCCAGTTACAAAAGACATCACATTTGGGGCACATGGGTGGCTCACTTGGTTAAGCATCTGCTCTTGGTATCGGCTAAGGTCATGATTTCACAGTCTGTGAGTTCGAGCCCCATGTCAGGCTCTGTGCTGACAGCAAAAAGCCTGCTTGATATTCTCTCTCTCTCTCTCTCTCTCTCTCTCTCTCTCTCTCTCCTCATCCCTCACTTGCACTGTCTCTGTATCTCTCAAAATAAATAAATGCCCTTAAAAATATCTAAAAGAAAAGATATCACATTTTATGATTCCATTTACAAAAGTGTCCAGAACAGGCAAACCTATAGGGAAAGAAAATATATTTGTGGCTGCCTAGGCTGAGGGAGAGGGGACTGGGGAGGTGGGATGGGGTAGGGGATAAGAGTGGCTGCTAAGAGGTATAAGGTTTCTTTATAGAGTGATGGAAATATTTTTAAATCACATTATGGTGATGTTTGCACAACTCTGTAAATACACCAAAAACCATTGAACTATATGGGTATGGTTTACAGAACAGATAAACTTCACAGCGTGTAAATTATCTGCCAATGAAGCTGTTTTAAAAAATCGACTGGGGACACTAGCTGGCTCAGTTGGAGGAATATGTGACTCTTGATCTCAAGACCATGGGTTCATGCGCCACATTTGGTGGAGAGATTACTTAAATAAACTTTAAAAAATTGAGTTTTGAACTAGGTGATCTCTAAGGTCATTTCTACCACTGACCTTTTAAATTAGCAACTCCCTATGTGGGTCTTTGATTATAACACTGGGACAACAATGCTGAATTGAAGTATTCCATAGGGATGTAATGAGTATGAGATACCATCTCTTACACTGGTTTCCCCCTTTTTTGCACTGTCAATTTTGTCCCACTAGTTTGAGTTCTTATTACAATACATTCCTATTGGGCCTCTCATCTTGTCCCTTCTAATCCATTCTATTTGGTCCTGCTACAGTACTTCCTTAATCTGGATGTTGAGCATGTTAATTCTCTCACTTAAAAATCAGTGGTGGAGGGGCACCTGGGTGGTTCAGGGGGTTAAGTGTCCGACTTTGGCTCAGGTCATGATCTCACTGTTCGTGAGTTCAAGCCCTGTGTTGGGCTCTGTGCTGACAGCTCAGAGCCTGAAACCTGCTTCGGATTCTGTGTCTCCCTTTCTCCCTGCCACTCCTCTTCTCCCTCTCTCTTTCTCTCAAAAATAAACAAACATTAAAAAATTTAAAAAAATCAGTGGTGGAATATGATACAGTAATTCCACTACTGGGTATTTACCCAAAGAAAACAAAAACACTAATTCAAAAAGATATATGCACCCCTATGTTTATTATAGCATTATTTAAAATAGTCAAGATATGGAAGCAACCCAGGTGTATATCTGGTCCATAGATGAATGAATAAAGAAGGTGTGGTATATATGTACAATCAAATATTACTCGGCCATAAAAAATAATGAGATCTTGCCATTTGCAACAACATGGATGAACCTAGAGCTTATAATGCTAAGTGAAATAAGTCAAAGAAATACAAATACCATATGATTTCACTCACATGTGGAGTTTAAGAAACAAAACAAAGGAAAAAAGAAGCAAAGAAAAAAAACCTCAGATTCTTAAATACAGAGAACAAACTGGTGGTTATCAGAGGGGAGGTGGGTGGGAGGATGGGCGAAACAGATAAAAGCAATTAATAGTAGACTTATCCTGATGAGTACTGAGTAATATATAGAGTTGTTGAATCATTATATTGTATACCTGAAACTAATATAACACTCTATGTTAATTATACCTCAATTAAAAAAAAAAAAGTGGGAGTGGGGGACGGAATCAGTGGTGGAGTTCTGGTTCTTGGTAAGAGCACGCTCCATTTTGCCCCTCCCAATGAATGCAGCTATAAAAGCTTGATGGAATGTCTTGAAGCAGCTATTTCATGACTCTGAAAGGTAAATAGTACCAGATGGATTGGGGAAGAAGACCAGTATTTGAGGTATTGCCAAATGGATAATCAGTTTACCAGTTTATTCCATCTGCTATTCATTAGCTTGACCTCAAAGAAGCCTGAAGCTCAGCAGTGGGTACTGATGACAACAAAGAGCTCCAGAAGGAGCCCTCTAGGTCTGGCTTGAGGGGCTGAAAAGAGGTGTGTTAAAGCTCCTGAGAGGGTGGAAATCCTCTCCTTTTACCTTCTTCTTTCATGTTTAAGCCCCAATTTCATTGTGGTAGCAATGGTGGCAATGGAGTCCAGGAAGAAGCTAAAATTCTCAGGGAGAAACATCTTCTCCAAATGGAGCAACTGTGGTTCATGAGAAGGGGGTGAACCCCCATTGTTCTATTCTGCCACCACTGAGCCTCAGATGAAGACATTTGCAGGAAGTACACCACACAGTGAGGTAAGTAAAGCCCCAGTTTTCTGTCTGGAGGACCAAAGAGGGATTTCCAGCAATCTGGAAAGTATCAGGGGTGATTTGGAGGAGGAGGAACTTGGGAAAGCAATCCCTTGTAATTGTTTATGAACTCCTTGGTACACTCCTCTGGGCTCATGCATGGATCTGATCCTCAACAGCACACATAGTTTGAAGACTAAACTATGAGACAGAGCACCATGCAAGTTTCAGACTGACCACTGTGTGTCACACATGAGACAGAACCAAACAGCATTACAAAGGTTTTGAAAACTGATGTGGGAAACACGAGCCACCAAGGATGGTCAGAACTTGCAAGTGAACTCAAATGGTGTGATTATCTGATAAAAATACCAACATTCTCCATAACAATGAAAGATTCAAAATCTCATAGTGTAATATTAAAAGTGTCCAGAATACAATTCAAAATTACTTGACATATGAAGAACCAGGAAAACCTCAATTTGCATCAAATAAGACAATCAGCAGGTGTCAACTCTGAGATGATGCACACTTGGAATTATCTCACAAAGACTTTAAAGAAGCTATGGCAAAAATGCTCCAAAAAGTGAAGATAAACTATCTTGAAATAACTGGAAAGATAGAAAGTCTCAGAAAAGAAATAGAATGATATAAAGAAAAACCAAATGAAAATTTTAGAAGTGAAAAATCCAGTAACAAAAATATTTCTCTTAATAGGCTCAATAGCAAAATAGACATGGCAGAGGAAAAAATCTGTGAACTTGAAGGGGTCAATAGAGATTATTTAATCTAAAGAATATAAAGGGAAAAAAACTGAAAAAATAAACAGAACCTTATGGACTCATGGGATAATAATGAAAGGTTTAACATTTGTGTTATTGAAGTTCCAGAGGAAAGGAGAAATTAAGATGCAGACAAAATATTTGAAGAAATGGCTTAAAATGTCTCAGATTTAGTGAGATATACAAGCCTACAGATTCAAAAAGCCCAGGGAATCTCAAAGAGATTCTTGGGAACGCCAAGAAATCCACACCTAGACACATCCTAAGTCTTTAAGTCCTAAGACACATACTTTAGGAAAGAAGGTGAAATGAAGGCATTTTCACGTGAAAGAAAACTAAGTATTGCCAGTGAACCTGCTGTACAAGGACCTACTGACAGAATTTCTTCAGACAGAAAGGAAATGATATTAACATGACATTTGGGGGAAAAAATAAGACTTGAAACATTAGGAATGAAGGAGTAACAGAAATGGTAAATATGTGAGTAAATATAATAGGCAATTCTTCTACTGAGTTCCTTAAAATATTTTAGATGGTTTAAAATAAAAATTATAACATTATCCAGAACAGTTTTTGATTATGTATATATAATACATAAAACAACTATAACATAAAGTGGAAAGGGGAAAGGGGACTATGTGATGGTTAGCTTCCTACATTCCACTTGACATGGTTAAGATAATGATTCTCAATAGACTGAAGAAGTTAAGTATACATACTGTAATCCCTAGAACAACCACTAAAAAACACAAAAAACATAAAAACACAAAAAACAACCACTAAAAAACACAGTAGATAAATTTAAAACGGGTATTAAGGGGCGCCTGGGTGGCTCAGTCAATTAAGCGTCCAACTTCGGTTCAGGTCATGATCTCACAGCTTGTGAGTTCAAGCC